GGGATGGGTGGGGCCACAATGGGGAATCAAAGTTTTATATAGAAATATATAGGAAAAATCTTTGAAAATTTTCTTCTCAAGAACCACTGGGCCAGAAAAGCTGAAACTTATGTGGAAGCATCCTGGTATAGTGTAGATTCTAAATTGTTCAAATCATGACCCCCGGGGGAAGGGCGGGGCCACAATGGGGTATCAAAGTTTTACATAGAAATATATAGGAAAAATCTTTGAAAATCTTCTTCTCAAGAACCACTGGGCCAGAAAAGCTGAAACTTATGTGGAAGCATCCTGGTATAATGTAGATTCTAAATTGTTCAATTAATGACACCCGGGGGAAGGGCGGGGCCACAATGGGGAATCAAAGTTTTATATAGAAATATATAGGAAAAATCTTTGAAAATTTTCTTCTCAAGAACCACTGGGCCAGAAAAAGTGAAGCTTATGTGGAAGCATTCTGGGGTAGTGTAAATTCTAAATTGTAGGAATCATGGCCCCCAGGGGAAGGGCGGGGCCACAATGGGGAATCAAAGTTTTATATAGAAATATATAGGAAAAATCTTTGAAAATCTTCTTCTCAAGAACCACTGGTCCAGAAAAGCTGAAACTTATATGGAAGCATCCTGGTATAGTGTAGATTCTAAATTGTTCAAATCATGACCCCCGGGGGAAGGGCAGGGCCACAATGGGGAATCAAATTTTTACATAGAAATATATAGGAAAAATCTTTGAAAATCTTCTTCTCAAGAACCACTGGGCCAGAAAAGCTGCAACTTATGTGGAAGCATCCTGGTATAATGTAGATTCTAAATTGTTCAATTAATGACACCCGGGGGAAGGGCGGGGCCACAATGGGGAATCAAAGTTTTACATAGAAATATATAGGAAAAATCTTTGAAAATCTTCTTCTCAAGAACCACTGGGCCAGAAAAGCTGAAACTTATGTGGAAGCATCCTGGTATAATGTAGATTCTAAATTGTTCAATTAATGACACCCGGGGGAAGGGCGGGGCCACAATGGGGAATCAAAGTTTTATATAGAAATATATTTGAAAAATCTTTGAAAATTTTCTTCTCAAGAACCACTGGGCCAGAAAAGCTGAAACTTATGTGGAAGCATCCTGGAATAATGTAGATTCTAAAAGTTCAAATAAAGACCCACGGGGGAAGGGCGGGGCCACAATGGGGTATCAAAGTTTTACATAGAAATATATAGGAAAAATCTTTGAAAATCTTCTTCTCAAGAACCACTGGGCCAGAAAAGCTGAAACTTATGTGGAAGCATCCTGGTATAATGTAGATTCTAAATTGTTCAATTAATGACCCCCGGGGGAAGGGCGGGGCCACAATGGGGAATCAAAGTTTTATATAGAAATATATAGGAAAAATCTTTGAAAATTTTCTTCTCAAGAACCACTGGGCCAGAAAAAGTGAAGCTTATGTGGAAGCATTCTGGGGTAGTGTAAATTCTAAATTGTAGGAATCATGACCCCCGGGGGAAGGACGGGGCCATTATAGGGAATCAAAGTTTACATAGAAATATATAGGAAAAATCTTTGAAAATCTTCTTCTCAGGAACCACTGGGCCAAAAAAGCTGAAACATATGTGCCCATGGAAGGATCATGGGGTAGTGTAGATTTCAAAATGTCTAAATTATGATCAGTGGGGTAGGGTGGGGATGCATTATGTATAACAAGGGTGAAATCTGGTAAAGAACAGAATGGTCAAAGCTTCTCAGGTGAACGATGTGGCCCATGGGCCTCTTGTTCATAATCATTTACTACATGTACCCAGCATTACCCACAGTAATAATTCAGAAGTTTCACTCAGGTTTTCCAGTATACTGTACAATGAAACAAAGTTATAAAGGACATGCATATAATGAATTGATAATGACTTAGCTGATTTTTGTGAGAATATTTTTTTCAAACACCCCTCCTATGTTTTCCTATTAAATACTTATGATTACACATTCTAGCCCCATCACACCCTAAATGGTTGTAATTTTAATAATTGACATTTACACAGCCTGAGTATGTTCCCAATAATTATTATTAGTCACTACTTTTCTATTATAGAAAATTTTTTTATATATTTCCTATATATACCCATGTAAAAATTTGATTTCCCATAGTGGCCAAACCCTACCCTATGGGGGTTCATGACTGGGGCAATCTGAATCTACACTATACAAGCCAGCTTCCATTTCAATATTATTGATCTTAGCTTTGCTGTTCATGAAAAGAGTTTTGCTATTAATACTATGTAGAACACTGATCGCTTTCAGTGGCCCCCATACTTAAAGTTGTAATGTTTAGATCACATTTGCATTTGCACAATGTCTGAGAGCCTTCTAATAAGTCTAAACTTCCCCTGTTCAGTGGTTCTTCGTGATAATATTTTAAAAAGAACCATGCATTTTTATACGTGATAATATTTTAAAAAGAACCATGCATTTTTAAACGTTTTCTACATGACCTACGGAATAGAAAGTGGCTCTTGAAAATTTGAATTTTTTATTACTCAAGGATACTCTGTGTCAAGTTTGGTTAAAGCTGCTCCACTGTGGTTGTGTAGATGACCTTTTAAAAACTTTGCAACGACAAAACAAATGACAACATAATCAACAATGTCGACAACGGCAGATATCGGACAAAAGTTGATCAGAAAAGCTCACTTGAGATTTAGGCTCTGGTGAACTCACTCAGTTATGTTAAGGAATGTTAAGGAATGTCAGCGTTCACATTCGTGGTGGACCGTATTGGAAGTTAAACTGTGATGTCATGAAAAATTAAACAGGCGACAAAAATCTAATTAACGACGTGATGATGCGTATATAACAACTTGAATGCATTTATTTTATTAATTATTTATAAAAAATCTTGTGAAATCACAATGCTTTTTAACAATACTGTCGAGTAAAAGAAGAAAGCCTCTTGTCAAATATGATTTCACCAGCCTTGAAATAAGTGATCCAGAAGACTAGATTCACTGGTTTAATACCATTTTAAACATGCTTAAAAATATGAAATCATCGCTAAGTTTTTAACCTTACCATCAAACTTAAAAGAAAATAATTTATTAATTACAATGTATATAGAATACGAATTTCTCTAGAAGCATTGTAGCTGCAAAGGGACAAAGAATGTTAAGAATATCGCTATAACGATAAGCATATTCGTCATTAACATCAAAAGCGCAAGGATATAGACTATTTTGTTTGAACTTTGAAAATGGAATATGTATTGCTTATACATGTATGGTGTATATTTTGAAAAGTGATGAGAGCTAATCCTGGTCTGCGTAAAATTATTTTTATTTATAACAGAATTTAAGCAAAGTGGATATTTAAAGCTATTGTACGCATTATCATTATATTCTATTATAATCAATTAGATCAGATGCTTCGTAGAAAAGCGCCTGACTTTGTCAAATTTCAAATATGTGATGAATATGGTCGCCTTACATATTTTGCATTCATCAAGAGCGATAACTTTTAAGTTCAAAATAGCTGTAGATTAGGAAGTGTAACGTACTTATTTTTAACCTGTTTGAGGTGATAAAAGAGCTTACTATTTTCAATTTAACAGTTTGAAATCTAAAAGAAAATAAAAGAAAAGATGGAAACAGGCAGAATTGCAACAAAATCTTAATAGCCTACCAAATATAAGGTAAGTAAAGACTCTGTAAATCAGAAGTTGTCAAAGGCAATAGCTTCTCTGATCAGAATTATTCAGGTTCCTGCATGTTTCTTAAAGTAAAGTGTTTATAACGATTTTTCTCTGGATTTTTATTTGCCAATCATCTTTCAAAGTCAAGTACATGTCTTAAGAAGGACGCATCACAAAACTTTCATCAGAGAAAGTCGCCCGCTTGGCGCAGTGGTTAGTTTTCATTACCTGTTTATCTCAGTCATAATATCATCATGTATCATCCCTCTGATAAGAGAGATAACTTTCCGAGGAAAATATTCCAATCAATTCAATGAATTGGATATGATTACACTTCATTACATTTAGCTAAAAGGTGGTCTTCATATTGAAAAATGTTGAAAATATGTAATTAATGTTTTTCTCAAAAACAAATTTAAGATTCAACAATCTGTAATCCATCCGATTACAATGACTTCGTGGCATAGAGGTAAAAGGATTGTAGACATAATGATCGTGAGTTCCAGTCTCACAGTGTGTGTTTCTTTTTCTTTTTTTCTTTTTTTCTCTGTGCATTTTTCCCTATGTTTTCTTTTATTATTTTATAATACATGTATAAATAATGTAAGAGATATATAATACATTACACCTTGAAAGTATCTCGGGAAAAAAACAGTCCTAATTAAACTATTTTAATGACCCAAAGTCATAGCTGCTAGCTTGTTTTATTTTTAAATTTTTATAAAAAAAAAATTGTTTAGAATAGGAGTATTTAAAAACGAGTAAAATGATTGTCATGTAACAAACTTGCAACTATGAAATTATAATACTGATCTTCAAATGATTACATACATGTAGTTTGATCTTGAATTGAAAAGGTACATGTATCTATAAATAGAAACAGGTGATTTCCTTTTAAATACTTGAGTCGGCCATGTCGTAGGTAAGGCAGCTATGGATCTTTACCAAATATGATTTAAAAAATTATAAAGTTTGGAAAGAATAGTGTCACAATTCAGCATTATTTGATAGAAACGCATGATAAAATGTGCTTCAAATTTGGGCCCTGGTAATCTGAATGTGCCCCTATAGCGGATCAACGTTTAAAGCATTAAAGGGGGAAGAAGCAAAAGTTAGATAAGATCTTTTCAAGAATTGCATTTACAAAAATAGCCAACTGATATAAAAGCAATTGAATGTTTATATATTATCGAAAAATTATCTAAATTATGATATTTGTCATATTATGGTTGAGAGTTACTAAATCAGTGGATAAATCTATATCATATGTAAATGATTTATATCAATAAGAGTTAATTTCCAATCTCTCAATTTGAAGAATTTCAGAAGCAATGGATCCAGAGCACAGTGCCCAGGATGTTATCCGATGTGACCTTTGTGAGACCGCCGTGGTACAGATGCACTGTGATTTCTGTGCTGTTAACTTATGCATTACGTGTATGGGAAAACATGTTTCTGATGATTATGACAAACATAAAGTGGTTCCTTTCAAACAACAAAAAACATCCTACCAAAATATGTGAGTTGCAGTGCAAAGAATGCAATATTCCTATTTGTTCATTATGCTCGGCCTCCATTCAACACAAAAAGTATGGTCTCTTAGTCCTTTCAGAAATACATGTTGCAAAGAAAGAATCCATTAGAAATGATGCAAATGAAATAGTAAATTATCTTTTTCCAGCATTTGAATCATTAGCAGTTGACATAGAAACTCAGATGACCAGTTTAGATGAGGATTACGGGAATCTTACAGCACTAGTGACGCAACACGGAGAAGAATGGCACAAAGAAATTGAAAGAATCGTTGAGGAAATGAAAAATGAAATTGATGAGATGAAAGGCAAACATAAGAGCATTCTAAAACAGCACCTTGACGAAATCAAGAATGTACAGTCTTTTATGGACCAAACACTGCTCACTCTAAAGGAAATTGAAGAATCAAATAAAGTGTCCCTGGCTTTAGAATACTCCTCCAAGATCACTGAATTCAGGAAACTTCCTCCCAAAGTTAAAATATCATTACCAACCTTTAATACAGGAAATATAAACAGAAAAAAGAATCACCGGTTATTTGGATCTTTATCATCTTTATCCATTAAAAGAGAAGAAGGCTTCATACTGGAGAAAAAGGAGGTCACAGCTACTGATAAAGAACTATTGGAAGTTCCAGAAGCCATTACGTCTATTAGTATTGGGTATTGTAACATCCGCGGTGTTACCTGTACAAATGAAAAAGAAATTTGGATATGTGGCAACTCATGTGATTTAAAATGCTTTAACATTCAAGGTTCGGACAAAAAGACCATCAAAACAAAATCAGGCAAATTTTAACATGGACAGGAGATGGGGACCTAGTTTACTCTGAGAGGACCAAAAGGACTGTGAATAAAGTAAGTAGTGGGCAGATAGAGGAGATAATCAGACTAAAGGGCTGGGTACCTGAACACCTCTGTGTCACCTCCTCTGGTGAGCTCCTGGTTACTATGTACAGTGAGGATGAAACACAATACAAAGTTGTTCGCTACTCAAACTCCAAAGAGAAGCAAACAATCCAGTTTGATGAAAACGGTAAACCTCTGTATTCAGGAATTGGCTACACTAAATATATATGTGAAAACAGAAACCTGGATATGTGTGTGGCTGACTATAGGGCAGGTGTTGTAGTTGTAGTCGATCAGGCTGGTAAACTCAGGTTCAGATACACTGGCCATAGCTCTACTACGAAGAAACAGCCATTCAAGCCATTGGGAATCACAACAGACAGTCAGTGTCAGATCTTGACATCAGACTGTCAAAATAATTATATTCACATCATTGACCAGAACGGAAGGTTCCTCTGTTATATACATAACTGTGATTTAAATTCCCCTACCGTTTTGTGTGTTGACAAAAATGATAATCTCTTTGTCACTACGTTAGGCTCTGGAAATGTCATAAAGATCAAATATCTCAGATAGTTACATACATATAGTAGTGTACTGTGTGCATAGTTATTTCTATTTAACGTAGAACCTACGTCGTATGACATCATAACTAGTGAATGTGTTTAGTCTGTGCTAGATCCATTATGATGTCATAATTGATTCAATGTCACTTTTTCCCGTACTTTACAGCTTTAATAGAAATGGAAGAAAATATATTCACTGAATTCAATTTAAAATTATGCCGAGATAATCTTAATTTGTTATAATTTTCTTATAATGCTTAATGAAATATATTTCTTGAATTAGAGAATCCTTTCAATTAATAGATCTTGATCTTCCTTAAGTTAACAAATCCAAGACTAACTTGTGTAATAAAATAATAATGTATACAACTTTCTGTAATAATGTAAATGGTATGTACATGTAACTATTTTGAAGGAATACACAACTAAATAGTTGTAATATGTTGATGAAATGTGTCCAAGTCAAAGATGTACGTGTTGTAGATCGTGTGTCCATTTTGTGATATCTATCATGAAATCATGTGCATTCCTCTTCATAATTATTTGTTACTTATTCATATTCTTGGAGTTTGATTACAATTGATTACAAATTTACAAGTTTTCTATTGTATATGTTCTTTCTAAATTAAAAGTACAATTTTTGATAAACATTTTTAATCTAAAAGTAACCCCAAACAGTCATTTAATAATTAAATCCAGTGTAAGTGCAAAAAGGTCAAGAATATTAGGATCGGTAAATTACCTATCTCTCGTTAGTTAGAGGGGAAAGGTATAATTTTTTATTACTTTTTGTGATCATTTGGGTATGTTCTTTATCATATTAAAAATTGAAAACATTGTGACAAAGACTTCTGAGAAATATTTACAAATGTAGGGTGGAAAATTGACTGAAAATAAATAGAGTTCATTTGCCTATAGTTTTTAAAAAGAGGACTTATCTTTTATGTCAATTGAATAAAAAAGAATTTATTCTTGGGAAATATTGTTTGATACTGTTTAACTAATAAACAATAAAACAACGATGTTTAAAGAAGTAATTTTTTGATTTTTTGTCTTCTTTGCATAACAAGTACCCCTGAAAATGACTGAAATTTTGAACTCGTAATATGTAATTATCATTCCATGTTTAACTGCCTGCACTACATTTAATAACAAGGAAACATGTCATGTGCTTTTGACTGATTGATAAGCAGGTGCTAATTTATCATTATGAAAAGTTTGAAAATCTTGTGACAAAGACTTCTCCGACATAGGTTCTACCTTAAGCTTCTAGTGTTTTTTAACATTTCAATATTTAGACATTTTTTGGAAGGGGTTTTTTTTGAAATAATTTTTTATTAGATGTTGCGATTTCATATGAGTGTAAATCCTCGAGACTTGACAAACAAACAAATCAAATAGATGTGTATTTCAATTAAACAAAGAATACTTATTTCATAGCATCTTACCAACTGAAATAAACATGTTCCCTGAATTGGTTTCAAATGTTTGAATTTATTAGTGTGTATGTATCTATTTAATGGATTACAGAGAATTTGTTGATATTTTTCATGAATGCACTGGCTTTCCACAAACATATATTGTAGTAAAATGTATGAAAAGGTCAAATTTTGCATAAATTAGCTCAGGGAGTTGGATTTTGGTTCCCTACACAGTTTATGTTTTTAAATGTATTATTGGTGTCGTGGAGGGAGTTCTACTATATAGAATGTCTGCTATAAAGTACAATCCCAAACTTAAGGGGAAATCTCGCATGAAACCTCCTTTTCTGTCTGAAGGATTTCTCCTCATTTACCAATGATTCAGTTACAAACATCAGCTATGAAACTATGAACAAATGTTTAAACAAGGTTTTGAAGGTAAGTTATTGACAAACAAAGAAAAATGAGCTAGTCAGAAAACACAATCTTTCATTAAGTTAAATGCGATTATTTTAGCTAGCTGATTTGCCAAGATTTACAAGGTACTCCAATTTTAGGATGCTTTGTACATTTATTTTAAAAAAAATATTTGTTTTATTCTAAGTAGATATAGTTAAAAATCCGTACACCCGATAGCTTGTATGGAATTATTTTAAGAAACCAGTTTTACTAATGAAAAGAATAAAAATGTAGTGCTTCTTAAAATAAGTAGTTGAATACTTATGTCTAGTAGTTACTGATACTAGAGGCCCATGAGGCACTATGCTTACCGGAGTAAATGTTACCCTTCTTATTTGTAAGCAGTTCTTTCATATACTTTTGACGATTAATTGATTGATAAATTGATTGATTGTTTATTGTTTAACGTCCCTCTCAAGAATTTTTCACTCATATGGAGGTGCCACCACTTGTCGATGGAGAGCTGCAAATTTTGTCCTATACTCGGCACTCAGGGCCATAAAGCAGGGAGGGATCTTTTTCGTGACAGCACCTACTGCGACAAGGGACCTAGATTTATACATTCTTATCCGAAGGGCCGGTCTCCATGTCCTACAGTGGGATTCGAACTCATGACATAAGGATTGACTCATTACTTCGCAACTCTAGAGCAGACGCTCTAACCACTTCGCCACACGGGCGACTGCTTTTCATGAGGAACAGCAAAGACATCGTTTTTCATAAAAATACATCCTCAGATACCATAGACTCAAGTTTGTTCAATATGATGTTCCATATAAAAACACGGGTTATTGATAATGACATTGCTGTTCTTTATTAGAAGATTTTTCAAACATCCCTCCTATGCCTTCCTATGAAATACTTTTCATCCCATGTCAGCCCAATCATACCTTACATATGGTTGTAAATTCATAAATTAAATTACATTCAATAAAAGTATTTTAAAATTTAAAGGTGGGGACACTTTTTTACGTTTAAAAGTATGGTGTAATGCACCCATTCTCAATATAAGGGCACAAATGCCTCTCTGAATTTTTAAAAAATGAAGTTCAAGATAACAATTTTTCTATCAGTTACCTTTGAAAGAAAGTATCTGAAGATTTTGTGTCCAGATTTTTTTTCATCAAACTATAATACATGGAATAATGACAAGACGATAAAGTAGAGGGTGATTTTATTCAGAAATGTAGCTTGAAATGTACGTTACTCTTTTTTCAATGTCTAAAAAGATATGTCAAAAAAAGGTAGTCATTAAAATCACAATTGGAATATCTTATCTTAACACCAGAACATCCTACCAACTCTGTCAGGAACATATTTCCTCGGCATACGAACGTGCGTTTGATTTTTCCTTTCAAAAAACAAAGGTTACTTTTTGATCCCGATGTACAAAAACATTTTTTAAATATATGCTTTGAATTCTTCTCTCTGTTTTGTTTACAGCGATCAGTTTGGAATCTTGTCATTTTTCTATAGATACTCGAACCTAACATGTACATGTAGTAAAATTCTATTTTGTAGTTACTGTCTTTTTTAACATATATCCATGCCGATTTAGAAAACTACATGAATGTAACGTACATTTCAAGATATATTTCTGTTTAATAAAAAACTTAAAATTCATCTAAAAATTCATAGTTTTGTTTCAGTTTATTCCAATAAAAGATTCTCTTTGTAATCACATTGCGTTATATGTCACAATCACCACTATAAAGACACGATTGCCTCAGAATTTGAGTAGGTAACGTACATTTCAAGCTTGTTATAATATGTAAATTAGTAATAAGAAAATATTGAAAAAAATAGCAAAAAAATAGCAATTATTGACATAAAAATCATTTCAATGAGGCGTTTTAAGGCAGTAATATAAGATATCGTAATGTAACAAACGAGGTTATTTGTCATCAACTACATGAATGTCACGTCACTTCGGTAACGTTCATTTCATATATTATTGGGGAGTTCCATCCATCTCAGTTCATTACCATTCTTTTGTGCTGTTTCGCTGAAATTGACACCGGTCATAGCCTAGTTACTTCTACCTTTGTGCAAGGGTACAGACAAAAAAAAATATGAGTCATACGTATTTTGCTATGATTTAACAAATGCTCGTGTTTGGCCATTGAAACTAAACATAAATATATTCCGAATATATCCACCGACAGTCTTGTTAACCCAAAAATGCAATGATTCAAACAAAACTGAGTATTGTGTGCCTTTCAGTTTTTGGAATGTAGGTGACTGTCTTGTGTTCTGGGTTTATTTGTTTTGTTTCTTTTTTTTTTTTTTTTTTTTTTTTTACCAATTATAAGCATATGCATACCTTGTTTTCAATTATCAACAACAATTAAATTAATATTGACGAAAAGTCGCATTTTAAAAATTAAACTGCAGAAAGGTTGCCAAAGATGAATGCAAGACTGTGACTTAGAAATAAATTTTCTAGCATGTGGTAACAGTCAAAAACATTTACGAGTATTGGGGGTGCATTTAGATGGATTTATGTGGCCAGTTGTCACGATTGTAACGATAATTTTTTTTCGCTCGTGTAAACGCAATTCAATGACTAAATAAAAAAAATATCAGTTAGAAATACATAAAATGTATGTTACCATACGTAACGTACATTTCAAATCTAAAAATTAATTCTCTTCTACAAGCGTACGTTAGACACGCAACATATTGATACTATTTGAACTTGCATATCAAAAGAAATGCATCATACAGGTTTCGTATTCAGAAATATATACCAGGTATCAAAATTATATTACATATAATTGACCTTAATATATTTTTTTCCTCAGCAGTAACGTTTCTTTTCATTAATTTTGGGATTTAGCCGACCTCCAACCTTTGAAACTTTCCTTTGTGTACACATTCGAGTGTGTGAAAGTATGAGAATGCATGAAAATTCGTGCGAGATTCACTTAATTCGAATTTCATGGTAACGTACATTTCAGTCACGTACATTTCAAATGATCACTTTTCATGTAAAAAATAATTTTTGATTGTGTTAAGCAAAACGTCTTTGCCAGTTTACAGGATAAAAGGGGTTGCTTATTCAGAGTCGTCTCATATTTTCTACTTAATATATATTCTAAAAGGAAGAATATAGGTAACGTACATTTCT